AAACAAAGAGAAAAGAAAAGTAAAGATTTAACTCAAGTAGAGTGTATTAAAGATGAAAATAAAAAAATACTTTTCTTAGAAAAAGATATTCAACATAGGTGGATTAGTTACTTTGATAAATTTTTTAATGAAGTTTCTGAAAGTACGATCGACCTTAGTGATTTTAATATCGTTAATAATAATAAAACGTTTCATTTTTACCGTCGCATTAGCAAAAAAAAAATTGAGGAGACTTTAAAAAAAATCAATGGTGGAAAATCTGTAGGACCTGATGATATCGCAATTGAAGTGTGGAAATATTTGGGAGATTTGGGAGTTTCTTGGCTTACTAAACTCTTTAATATTATTTTAAAAACTAAAAAGATGCCTGAGCCCTTCGGCCCACCCCTAGTTATTCTATTATTATAAATTTGCTTTCATAATGTATTAAAGTTAGTTTTTGCGTGTGTTTGTTTGAGACAGCTGCCGACTTCTTTGGTTTAACCTTCTAAGGCTGTTTTGAAGGGTCTGAGTAGTGCTCCCGCTATATCTCGCTCTTGAAATAGTGATTTATCCTTTCTCTACCTTTCCCCATCCTTCCCGATTCCCTCCTTTGCTTCCCTCCATTGCTGCCACCACCCAAAACCACATCCCCTTGCTGATTTCCTACTATTCAATCCCTCCTATCTTGCTGCTGCCGTCCAAATAACAACTGTTGTTTCTTGCTACTATCTAGTCATCCAACTTTGCTGCCACTACACAAACTCTCTTCTTTTTGTGGGTTCCTGCTGTTCCAGCCATCCCTACCTTTGCCACCCCCTTTCCTTCGCTGCCATCATCTAGAAAACAACAAGCTTGCTGTTTTTCTGCTCTTTCAGCAGCCTGCTGTCCCTACCAATTCACTTTGCTGACCACTACCACCTCTGGATCTAATCCTAGGGTGAATTTGTGTTGTTGTTTGTTGCAATTTCAGATTTATGTTTGTTTGTTGTAATTTTCTATTGGAAGTTGGTAATAATATTTATTTTTTCATTGTTATTTGGTTTAATAAGTTGGTTTGATCAAATTATTAAAAGGTGTGAACGATTTAGATTCTTGGGTCCGTTGTCCAAAGCGATGGTGATATAGATGGGGATGTTAATAGTAGAATTCAAGTTGGTTGGTTGAAGTGGAGGAATGCTTCGGGCCTTTTGTGTGATAGAAAAGTACCGCTAAGACTGAAAGGAAAATTTTATAAGACGGTGGTGAGACCTGCAATGCTCTATGGCGCTGAATGTTGGCCTTTAAAAGAGAAGCATAATAATAAGTTAAGTGTTGCCGAGATGAGAATGATTAGGTGGATGAGTGGCTTGACACTTAGAGATAAAATGCGGAATGAATATATTCGTGATAGGGTAGGTGTAGCTCCTGTGACAGACAAAATTAGAGAAAGTTGTCTTAGATGGTTTGGTCATATTAAACTTCGACCATTAGATGATCCGATTAGGAGAGTAGATGTTTTAAATTCGACTTGTGTTAAGAAAGACAGAGGTAGACCTAGGAAGACTTGGGTTTATTGTATTAAAAATGATC